ATCACTCAAAGCAGCAGTCAAACAGAATCAGAATGAACTAAAAGCTTTAAACTGCAGGCAGCAGAGAAAAACAGATAGTGTGAAGATTAAGCGAGAAATGCAGACAGAATTTTATGTTTTAACTTTTGCAAATTAAAGTTTGTGAATTATAACCAATGCTTTTAAGAATAATTGAATTTTAAAAAAGGGTTGATTCTATTTGATAATGGAAATAATGAATAAAGAAGAATCATGGAAGGATTAAAAGATAATTAGAAACATGTTGAATGGGGGGGAAAAAAGGGTATGAAATCATGCATGCAGTAAATGATTAAATGAAAAAAGTATAAACCTGATGTTTACCCGTAATCAACAAATGGAGGATAAAATGTGTGTAAAGAGAGTATTGGATAAAAAATATAAAGGCTATATGTTCAATGACTGAAGATGATAAATGTAAAAACATGAAGTAGAAAGATGCTCATGATTTATGTGGTATGATTTGTTTAACGATAAAAGTGAAGTCTGGTTAATGTGATGATGTTAAATGATGTTATAATCAAGGAGGTTCTATAGAACAGCTGGAGTGCTCAGAAACCATGTGACCGGCTGGTGAAGCTAACGGCTAACGCTAAACGGTCAAGAGTCTGGATTTCCCTTTACTGTACATGTTGACAACAGAGCAGAAAAAAAAGGACTGATGTAGAAATCATAAAAACTAATAATATTAACCCAATTATTATTAATATTTTACAGTTTATATAATTTAATGTTTTAAATAATGTCAGAAAAGTTGTTTGTTATGGGTTTATTAACAGAAGTTAAACAGGAAAACGTCTCATTTCACAACACAAGTCAGCAGATTTGATCTTATTTAGCTCAATGTGATCTGAGCAGAACATTATTTTACAGTTTATATAATCTAATGTTTTAAATAATGTCAGAAAAGTTGTTTGTGTTATGGGTTTATTAACAGAAGTTAAACAGGAAAACGTCTCAATTCACAACAAGTCAGCAGATTTTATCTTATTTAGCTCAATGTGATCTAAGCAGAACATAATGTAACAGTTTAAAATTAAAATAATCTTATAAAGTCGATGTAATCTCTGTTATTCATTGAACTAGTTAGCAGATATTAGCTTGTGGAGCATATATACAGAGTGTAGCTCTGCTGAAGCATGGTACAATTTAACAAACTATTAAATATTACAGCTGATTTGTCCACTGATTAATATTTAAACCTACAGAGTGTAAAAAATTATAAATGTAAGTATTTTTAGGTTTCTGTTAGAGGAACCTGACCTGTTAAGAAGATGGTTAGCTAATAGAGACAAGTTTCATCCTATAACCAGAGAACATTTTCWAAATGTTGACTGGTAAATATAAATATTCTTATTTTTTATGGACAGTGAGAAGAAATAAATATAATTTACTACTAGGTAAAGTCTAAGTTACAGGCTGACTTCAGGTCTGGTTTAGATCATTGTTACTTATAAAATTATATATTTTTCCTGGTATAAATCTGCTGTTTTACATGATTGTTGAATCAAATTAATATAATTATTAATTTATTGTAAAAACATGACCGATAATCTGTGAAACAGATCCGGTTCAGCTTGCCGTGGTGGCTGTGAGCTGTTGCTCTGTTTGGTCTCCGTTTCTGCTCCTCCATGCTGTCACAGACACTACCAATGGACGGTATGGGCGGGGCTCAGTCTAGTGATCTATATTTAAGTCTGTCATGGACTAATTATTTATATCTGTGTCACCTTGACACTGTCCACTGCTCATATCTTATGATCACTTATGTCGGCTCTTAATCTGTTTGTTCCAGACGTCAGGACKCCAGCATCGGGCTGACCTCTCTTTTGCGCGATATGTTAACTCTTTGAGCCGAGAGCTGTCATTGGCTGATAGTAACATGAGGCGGATTGTGATTGGTTGTACATTGTCACATGGTGTTAACATGAGGTTATATCATTGGTTTGCCATCTGATGATGGTGGCCACGTTCGACAGACTTCTTGATTGTTTTCTGTTCATTGTTTGCCCAGAATTAAATAATTGTCGACCATACACGCAGACTTCTTCTCCTGTGCATTTATTTCAACGTGTTTCTGCATTTTCAATAACTGTGTCCACCACAAAGTCTATGGTTATAATTAAATCTGATTAGGTAACTGAATAAAGGATGATGTCATGGTGCAGCTTTAGGCAGTAGGAAGAGAAAAGTCGTGATCATGCGATGGGTGAAGTAATTTTGGATGAGGTCATTTTAAAAGTGAAATAAAAAGCGTTGAGGGAGAAGAAGCTTTGTTCTTCTTCCTTCAGAGACCAGCTGAGTGGATCAGACCTGACAAGCAGCCCCCCATCTGAAAGCCTCTTTATTTCCTTTTCTTTAAAAAGGATTCGTTTCCCATGAAGGGATGAAAACAATATCCTTTGTTTTCTTTGAAAGGGTTTTCCTCCTGAGTGTTTTTGGCTGTTCACCGTTTTGTTCTCCTCAGGACAAAAACAGCAGCCTCACCCAGGCCACAGTTACTGTTTTAGGTATGTTGCCAGGCAGCTGTGAGCCTTCATTAAATCAGTAACAGAAAACTTTTTACCCAAGACCCAAATCATAAATCCAGTTCAGTCCCGTCCATTACACACCCTGTTTAAATTGCAGGGATAAAGACAAGACATTTACAGGCTTTAACCACCAAAATATAACGAAATATGTTCTTTAAAATTATAATATTAACACCAAGTATAACCTGACCTTGTGATTTGGCTCAGTCTTGGTTAAGCACCATTTGAATTTGAACGATTCCTCGTTTCAAGTCTMGTTATTTATATTTATAAGCACCCATCCAGTCATCACAACCAGAGCTGAGGTGAACTCTCTCCCACCCACAAGTTCTCAGGAACATTTGTAAGGTTGGCCGTTTTCAGACGGTCTCTTTCAGCATCAGAGGTAACAAMTGTTCGCTACGTCACAACTTATTCGGCAAAAGTGTTTCTGAAAAGGTTTTATTATGTTCCAAATAAAGTTTCAGTACATGACTTGTGTTTTAGGTTTAATGGAACATAGCGTGCAAGCAGAACAAAACAACTTGCTAAGCAAAACCAGAAGGACGAGTTTAGACAAGCGGTCTAACCACAAAATTTTCCAACACGCCCGAGTTTCCAGTAAAGAATGCACAAACAAGTATGACTAACACAGTAAGAATGTTTTTCTGTTGTCTAGCTAATTACATGCCCCCCAGCAACCAGCTTCTGATTGGCTTCTATGCTTATGACATGACATAGCAACTGCCTTATGATTCGACAACTTATTGTGATGTAATTTCTACGTGTGTGAATAAAAGTGGATCACGGCCACAGAGCGGCAGAACTTCTCTGGACTTGACTACAGTTGAGTTAAGTACTCTGAACTTCTCCCTTTGCAAAGTGTATCTTTAAATTGGTTTCAGTCTCTGATGTCTCTTGTTTAATGTCTGGTGGGTTGTTGTGTATCAAGTCTCAGGTCAAAATACCGGACAGTTTCCATCTCTCCTTTTCCGCATTAAGTGTTTTTCGAAAAACCCAAAAACCACCTCAAGCGAGCATAAAAACTTTAGCGAATTGAGGATTTTTTTTTTTTAAATTTTGCCGTTTCCATCCGACTTTTTTTTTTCCGCATTTTTAATGCGCATCAAAAAGCCTTGATGGAAACACGGTTAGAGACACACTGCTCTCAGATCAGCTCACTGCAGCCAATTTACATGAACTAAGCACACTGACAAAGTTCTGACAGATCACACACACACACTGCAAGAACTAGTTCCGACAACATGATGATGCACAAGAAAAGCACCTCAGCATGTGAGAAGAGTAGCAAATCATGTGATCATTGTCATGCACCCTTGTAAGCAAGCTGTGAAAAGACTTCCTCTTAAGAAATGGAGGCCGAAGAACCTCAGAGAATGAGTCCCCWGCTGCTGAAGCACAAAAAGCAGATTGAACACTGGAAAATTCAGGGGTGAAAACAAAAAAGCCAGAACAGAAATTCTGATTTGTTATGTTGTCGTATTCATATATTGGTTTTTTTAACAACTACTGAAACACAGGAGTTAGATAATCACCATCTGATACACAAGACAAATCTTTTTTTCTGGGGGGACTTTTTTTTTAAATATATACAATTTTAACTCCTAATTAGTCAAAAACGTTTGTTTTTATGTTCATGAGGTTGTACTCAGCTAGTTGGGAAAGCTTGATACTCAAAAGAAGACAGTTTGAACAGGAAGTGGAGGAGGCACAGCTACACCTCTGCTTCTGCTAAATAAACATCCACAGTATTTAGTCATACTTTGTACTTCATTATTGAGAGTGTTCGTTACTGGTGTTCTTGTTTTATTATTTCAACATGCTGGAGGGCGTTGGCTGAAAAATAATAAAAAAAAATAAGTTGTGTTATCTCTCACACACAGACACACAAAAAAAAGGGGGAAGTTCTGTTGTTACCAAAAAGATTAAAATTAGTGAGGTTGTGTCTGTCTCCAGAACAGTCACTAAAATTTGTCACGCACTTATTTTTGAGGAAACATGTTCTGGCAGGTGTGTCAGACGAACAATAAAACTAAACTACTTTGTGGTTTACTTTGTTAAAAGTTCTGCTTTGTGCGCCGCCATCCTGATTATRTCAAGCTTACGAGAGAAAGCGGGGGAAAGCACCACTCTTGGTCCTCGAGAGCTACCGTCCTGCATTTTTATTTTGTTTATTTTTCCCCTTCCATCAGCTCCAGCCTGATTTAGTTGTTTCAATYACCACCCGTTGTTCTGCAGAAGCCATCGCCCATCCATGCAAATCAAACCAAATGAGTTGGAGAAGCCTGTAAACATGCAGGGTGTGGAGGACCAGGACTAGACACTCCTGGGTTAAAGTGCGCCCTAACTAGCGGTTTCATGATGAAGCCAAACCGAACAAGACAAAGCCATGAACGCTACAGCCATAACATTACATGCAGCAGAAGCTAAAGGGAGAGAAAAGTCACTCACCTGACAGTACAGGCTGCACGCCATGATTGTCGACAACGCTCGCGCGCTGTGAACCAAACTTTTATAACCAGAAAAGACTTTCACATAAACTATCTAACAAACTCATCTACCACAGCTAAAAGTCACCCTCCGACCCACTTGCATTCCTTGCCGTGACACCGTCCCCTAGCTCCCAGAGCTTGTATTTATGTGCGCGTGGTGACTCCTCCCTTTCGCAGCTGCAAGGAGCAGACACTGATGGCGCTAAGCGACGACATTTGTGGCAGCCATCTTGTAAGGAGCTACCTGTAGCACTGTACTGTTTATCGAAGCCACACGCTGTAACGCTTTGTCCATCAATATCAAAAACGCAGCGTCTCATCTTAATTAAGTAAACACGTAATGAATTATGTGAAAACAAGATGAATATTCTCCAGGCGTGCCAGGTGCTTCAACTATCATTAAATTACCAGATGTTGTAATCATTCTGACCCAAACAGAACTTCACGTTCACTTTTGCTTCCAATCAGAGCTCTGCTACCAGTGGGTAGACTATTTTTCTCATAACTTCAAGAGGGGATCTAAACTTGACAGGCCAATACAACAAACATTTTACTGCAGTAAAATTAAAAAATACATTTTATTACAGTTTATTGATTAACTGTTTCTTCAACTAAACAGATAACCATAAAAGATAATAAAAAGACACAGTATATACACTATTATATTTGAAACATGACAAGTGTTCTGTTTGAGTTAAACATTTTATTTTGAATGATAAAAAAAAACACTTCTCAGGCACACAGTTTGTTCTGTGCAGTCAAAGGCTGCATTAGTTAAATTTATCACTTACCCTACCCAGCCTGATCATGACATCCCTCCTCCAAATACCCCCTCTTCTTTGCTCAAAGCTCCCCCATGACTGAGTCATTCCCTTCTCTAGTTACATTACATCACATTTGAGTTTAACATTTAAACATCATTAAACATCATTATTCACTATTAAACAAATGAATGATAAAGATTCTTCTACTTCAGTTGTTTGCTTATCCACACACTTAACAATATTACTTTACATACATCAGTTTTCATAATTCATTATACATTGGAGTTGTATTCTTCAGTTTAATTATTTACTGCATGCATGACTTCATACTCTTTTCATTCAACATGACTCTAATCATCTTTTAATCATTTCATGATTCTAATTTACTTCCATCATCTAATAAGATCAACTCCTTAATTCAATTACTCTTAATAACATTGGATATAATTCACAAATAAAACTAATTTTGTAAGCTTTGACTGTTTGCATTTCTTCACATCTTGAATCTTCTCCTGTACAGTCGGTCCAGTTACGCTCTCATCCTGTGAGAGTGTTGGCTGTTATGTCCACTTTCATCTGGCTTTCATCTGGGACGTTCTGTTTTGAAGCCATGCTTAAGGACAACATAATGCTGCAAAATCTTTGGGGAAAGCACAGCTTGAAACTTTTGGTCCTTCCACAGAAAACTCAATGTGTGTGTTTTTTATTTTTTATATTCCAAGTTTTAAATTTTAAACACTTGAAATGTCAATGGGTTGCTTCCAATAAATATATTTTGAGTGACCTCATGTTGGTGGTTCTACCAGTTATTTTTAGCCTTCAGGGTGCCACTCAGTCTAATTTAGAGCGCTCATTATCAGGATTTGGTCATCTTGAAATGTTGGATCTGGATATGTCTGATCCAATCCAATTTTTCTTTGAACAACAGGGATAAAAGTAAAAAAGATTATGCCATCCTGGACTGCAAAAAAGGGTGATTACAAAATTGTGATCCAGATTGCACTTTTTGAACTACTGGTCCTACATGTCAGGTTCTTTGTCTTGGTTTGGGAGACTGTCATTGTCCACACAAAACCTGATCAGGAGACCGGTTAAGGTGCATACCCTGCGGGACCATGGCTGTCGTGACTGTGATCAGTAAAGAATGCAGGCAAAACACAGTAGACATATTGATGCTAGCAGCACACTTTTTATCTTGTTGGAATCTGATCTATTCTGAGTAAAAGACAAGTACTGACACTAACAGCTGTGTGTTTTTGCACCTTCCTGTCTGCATACGTTTGTTTCCTTGACTGTGGGCTTTAAAAAAAGGGGGTTGAAACTGAACAGAATGATAGTTGTACATAGTTACTCCTATTTGCAGAAGATATTTTCTGACAGCATACAAGAGACAAAAACTGAAAAGGTGGAATTTTTAATGATTCATAAACTAATATTGTTTAATGCTAAGCTATAAAACCATGTTCTGGCATTAGTTTTTTTTTTTCTGAATGTCAGAAACAAAGTATGCCAAACATGTCACATGTAGTTCTTAGCAAAATGGCGTCACAAATCTCCTCAGCTCTCCTCGCCTCAAACGGAGGCTGACATTGGTTCAACAGCCGGGTACTTTGTCACGTGAAACGGAAATTCATACCAGCTGAGAAAACAAAATTTTAGAGGAAATACTTTGCCTTAGTTGTAATCTGTGTTGTCTAATTTGCAAACTCCTGCACAGGGTTGCCAGATAGGAAATGAAGAACGGTCATTCAATTGCTTTAAAATTGTTCTTTGTTCCTCGAAGAAATTTTTTATTTTGTTTTATTTTAAGGCCAGGAAAAACAGCAGTGATCAATTATTCTATTTCATTTTAGAAAAAAAAAAGGTTGCGTGTGGCCTGCTTGTTATGTAAACAGGTGGAGGGAGGTTTTGGGTTTGGCTCAAGTTCTGTCGGTGTTTTAGAAAAGCAATTTATGACCAGTTGCCACTCTAACAGACCCATTCACCCTCCCCATTTTCTTTGTATTGGTTTCAGTGTGGATAAAGGTCAGAGAGGGTTTAGATGGTGCACAAATCACTCGTAAAAAGGTCTTGTACGTTTTACTTTTTTTTAGTACAAAATCTGTTAGGGCTGCTGTCTTTTGATCCAATATACTCTGATTTGCTGTGAGTTATATCAGCATGAGACAAAGCAGTTACATTCTACTGCAAATGTTGAATACAGAAACCTTTGTTTGCCCCAGCAGAAAAAAACTGCTGCCTAAAAAAGTGCAAACAACTCAGAGACAGAGAAATGCCAGCCCAGCAACTGGTAACGTGATGGCTTCTGGGGCTTCTGCATTGTGGCTGGGGTGGGGGTGGGGGTGGGGGTTCTCTCCTCTGCTCCACTCTGGGGGTGGGGGATGTTGTGCACTGTGGTGGTGCTGGAGATACCGCAGGGCTCCATGCTCAAGGAGCCTCTGGATGTCTCATGTCCTGGTGGTCAAATGTCTAAAACATCAGGTTCTTTATCGACTGATGGTTGGGCAAATAAAACAACAAGGTAGAGTGGTCGCAAAGTCCGAACCCAGCCTCATTTACTAGAACTTACGTAACCCTAACTATAAATCCAGATCAATAGTCAGATGTTACTGGCTACTGACCACTGCTTGAAGCCTTCAGAGGAAATTAAAAGATTCCAGGTTTGCAAATCTGCTCAGTGGGTTTTTAATTGCGATCTTTAAATACGTTGTGCTAATTCTTTCAAGGTTGTCTCTGTAATAGAAAATTGTGTACATTGCTTTTGACATTTTAAACTTTTGACCTGACAGACAGTCTGAGACATGCTCCTGTTTTTAACTGAATACATGATCTTTCTTTGAGCTGTTGCTGTGCATAAAAAAACAAGATACAGCGTGTAAAATAAGTATTGAACACGTCAACATTTTTCTCAGTAAATATATTACTAGAGGCGCTAATGACATGAAATTTTCACCAGATGTTGGTAACAACCCAAGTGATCCATACATACAAAGAAATCAAACCATAAAT